AGGAAGTGGAACAAAATCTCAATCTTTGACAAAGTTCTATGTATTTAAATGCTTTATTGCTATTTGTCAATAATTTTTGGTGGTGTTAATATACTAATTGGGAAACTTCGAAATTGGGAGCCATGAATTAACCACAGAGATTAATTACACAGATGGGATGTAAAAAATTTTGGGTGTACTGAAAATTCTTCCCTAGGTTGGCATATCTAAGTTTATATTTTAAAGAAATGTACCCATGTGTTTTCTCTGTTTTCATTCTCTTCTCATTCTCATTTTATTATTATTTTTATAATTTTGTTGTGAACTGTGGGGAGTTATCTTTGTTTGCTGCAACAGTGTCATCTAATAGATTTTACTTGAACCATGGGGAGTTAACTTTGCTTGGGATCATATAATAGATTTTACTTGAAAGAGTGATTGTGATTGTCTTGTTCAAAAATTGTCCCTCAATAAGAAGAGTTGAAAGAGTGACTGTGATTAATTGCCATTTATTGATTGTTACTGGATAATGGGAAAGACTGGAAATTTGAGATAGTTGAGAGAATGATAATAAATGTGAGCCACTTCACATTTGATTGATTTAGTCCCTGTAGCAGGTACAATAGTGACTAATTTTGTCCCTGACATGTGTTTAGTTTTGATTTAATTTGTCTGTCTAAGTGGGAGTATTCTATGAAAAACATTTACTCACCAAAATCACCTTCTTGACTGTCTTGAATTGATTAGCTAGGATTGTCATCGAAAGTTTTCTAATACCACATAAAAGGTCAAATTTAATAAGAGATAAACTATGTAAATTTTGAAAATCAACTCATCTCCAATCAACTCAACTTTTCAAATGAACAGTACAGTGAAAATGATAATTTTGTTCAATCAATTTTTATAATAGGTATTTCACGCAATAATTCTTTTAAAGCAATGGATACTAATCACAAGTGGGTTATGTTCTGTTCATTCATTATCCATACAAGTAAATTAACAAAATTAGTTCAGATCTGTGTTTTATCTGGGATGGGACATGCAGCTATAGTCTTGATGTGTATGGAGTGCTCCAGGAACACTTCATGATTTTTGATGGCTTAGCACCATTAATTAGCTACAGGGGAGAGAACACTAGGAAGTTCATGAAAACCTAGATTAGCCAGAAATTTTTTGCTTGTAGATACGACTTTGAAAAGCTATTGAATGATCAACACTGGTATAAAAGAACAGCTAGATCATCAGCTTTGAACCAAGTTTATGAGTTGTCAAGGAATTGCCTTTTGTATTTGCTTGGTGTTCTTATGTGTCAGTTGATTTGTGTCTGTTGCTCAGCTATTAAATATTTTGGATCATTGAACATTGGCTCTAGTTGTTGTCCACAGTGATGCATGGTTACTTGCCGTGGCGTTCTATTTTGGTGCTAGATTTGGTTTTGATAAAGCCGACAGTTGTTCTTTCTTCCCTCTATTATCCTGTGGTGTATTTGGAATTATAAGTTTCTAGTTTGCTAGAATATTGAAATGTGCTGTGATCCATCATATCATTATATGAAAAGTAAGCCTAAATGAAAAGCCATGTGAGTATGTGAGAGTTATTAATAAAATTTAGATTAATTTTTTATAAAACATTTGAAGTACTTTTAACTCTACTGTATGATATCCTTTTGACAACCAGTCTTAAAATGATGATGTTTCCCAAATTTGACTTCAATAGAAGATTATTTTCTTTTTCATTGACAAAAGTTCCTAACAGTTTTTGAACAACCATACTGAATGCAAAACCAAGTCAAGGAATACAATTTCTATACATTGTATTTGAGTAGAAGCACTTACTCATTAGCCATGTTAAACTTATTTATCTTGCCATATTCCATCTTCTTAATGTTTTCTTGGTAAGGTTGAGCCACTTGCTTATTACCAAACCAATGCTTATTTAGCATTCATGCACAACAAAAAATTGGTTTAGTCCACATCAGTTTTAGTTGGAGCAATCTTGAACCAAGTGCACTACTGAAGTGTCTATTAGATGCTAAAGGAGAGGAGACCTACAACATTTGGTGCTTATACCATTTCCACTTCAAAGCTTCTAACATCAATTACACCATCATATGCATCTCCACTCCATTTATAACTTTTTGGATGTTTATTTGTGATATTTGCCACTGCTGGCACCAAATGGAAACTTCATTTTCTTGTGTTCTTTAACCACATGTAATGGAAAAATAGGTGAAATTTGGTTGACTTGTTTATCTGGAAAAAATAAAAATAAATTAGATATGCTTTGGCCATGAATGTCTTAGTGCCTTGTAATGAATTAAGTTGCTCATCCCTCTATACTCCTAAGCCTAGATGGTTCAAGCATATCAGAGATATCTGAGGTTCACATGTTGACATATAGCTCTACTTTGTTTGGTTTAGTGCAAGACATTAAATTTGTATCTAATTTAATTGCTTGTTCGGTTTTCACCTTTACGTTACTAAGGCTACTAAGTAGGTTGTTCATTCACTTCATGTTCTACTAAATACTTGTTCAATGAGTTAATCTTGAATAAGTTCTATTCCTTTTGTTGTGATTTTATTTTTTGTTTTTTTTCCCCCTAATATGCTTGTCGAATCAATGAATTGTGCTTTAGCTAATTCAATGACACTGATATTCATCTGATTAATAAATCTACCTTTTAGTCTTTCTAGCTACAGGACTTCCTCTGCCATCTCTTACTATTCTAGCAGAAAACCCAAGCATTCCATAGGTATGTTTGGATTTTGGAATTGGATAGGGGATTTGTGGAGCGAAAAGAAAATATGAGGGAAATGTGAATGAAATGTAAGTTAAATTTCTTTCTCATTTTGCTTCACTCTTTTTTCTTTCTCTCTCTCTCTCTCTCTCTCTCTCTCTCTCTCTCTCTCTCTCTCTTCACGAATCAGGTGTATGAGATAGAGACAAGGCAATTCTAATGATTTGAGATGCAACGACAACTTCAAGCATAGAGTCTATTGCATTTTTTTCTTTTCCTTGAGGGGCTTAAATCTATGGAAGTTCATAACAGTAGACAGTATATATATATATATATATATATTAATTGAAATTGTATTATTTGCATTGTATCTGTCCTTTTACAGTTTAGGAGCCTCTGTTTGTGATCTGTGTTACTGAGATGTTCCAGCTTTATGTATGCAGCTTTCATCTTTGCTTTAGTAATTGCTTTGAGGGTTGGACTGCAACTGGCTTCATCCCTAGTTATTTTATCTTATTTTATTTTATGGCCTTTACATTTTTATATTTTAGGTGTTTTCGTTAGTTGGTTTCTTGCCAAATTAACAATTGGATATTAATTTTGTTTAATCCTCTGTTATGTATGGAATTATATTTTTGAGATTGGATTATACTTGGTTTGTATGGAATTTGTGTTGGAAATATTAATTTGATGGTTGAAAGTGAAATGTGTGCACGTTGTGGAATGGTTGCTAATTTTATCAGTATATGGATAATTTTATTTATACACAGGGTATAGATTATATTAATAATGGAGTAAATACAGGTGGCTGAGAAATTAATTAAAGAAATTATAAAAATTTTGGCGACTAAATATTTTGGTAGCCAAAAATGCAAGCAAAGATTTTTCATGACTAAATATTTAGTAGTAAAAGGAAACAAAAGACTTTTGGCGACCAAATAGTTAGTAGCTAAAATAAATCAAGATGAGGGAAGAAACTTTTGCCGACTAAATATTTTAGTCACGAAAGAACATGGCATCCTTTGGTGACTAAAATGTTTGGTCGTAATATACTATGAAATGAAAATATTTAATCTTTTGGTGATTAAAATGTTTGGTCCTGAAAACTAACAACAACTAAATATTTTGGTCGCTAAATGTATTATTATTAGTGACTAAAATTTTTAGTTGGTAAATTTATTATTACTACCAACTAAATATTTTAGTCCCTAAAAGAGAATTTCATTTTGATTTAATTACTTTTGATGACTAAATATTTTGTCGCCAAAACGTTGGGTATGTTTGGTTTGGATTGGTAGAGTGATTTTGGGAAATTTTTTCTAAAAAACTTGTTTGGTTTGTAATTTTTCCAAAACAATTTCAAAAATCTCTCTCTCTTACACATCAATCAATCACTTTTTCTCTCTCGTCTCTTCTTCTCAATCACTTTTTCTCTCACACACATCTACTCAATTACGACAAAATATCAAATCATTCCAAATTCTCAAACTCCAAAACCACTTTTAAAATACAGAACCAAACAAACCAAAAAAAATTCTAAACTCTCTCCCCAAAACAATTTTTAAAAACTACTATCTCAAAACCAAACCAAACATACTCGTTATGTTTGGCGATGAAGTCTGTTTTAGTAGCCAATGATAACATAATTACCGACCAACGTAAATTTAGTCACTGTTGACTATTGCCGACAAGGCTTTGGTGACCAATAGGGAGACAAATAACTTTAGTTGCCATTGACTTTCGCTGACTAAAAAATAACCTTTGGCAACTAAAAATTTGGTCACAAAAAGTGTAATTTCCTGTAGTGTGTGGCTTTTCTAAGATTAGGTTTTGTTGTATAACGAGAAAAAAAAAAGGAGAGATTAATGAGGGAAAATGAGGGAAATGAAATGCTTACGAATTATTGAGAGGGAATTTGGGTCTTGTTTATTGAGAGGGAAATGAGGGAAAATGAGGGCAAATGAGGGAAATGAAATGCTTAGGAATTATTTTCTTTTTATTTATTTATTTATTTTTGCGGGGAGGTGGGGGAAGGTAATGAAAACATAGCTTTTTTGGAAAAACACTGTAAAAAAATGCTATGTAATGTATTCTTTGTTGTAGTGTATGTTGAAGAGAAGCTAACTTGCCACAATTATGTTGATATAGAGTACAAAACAGAGCAAAAACAGAATTATGTTGTAGGAAAAGAACATAACATAACAGAATAGAGCAAAGCCCAAAATAGAGGATAAACAGAAAGTAGAGAAGAATAGCGTTTGGTTAGTTATTGGCTAGCACGTACATACCAATTCTGTACCAAGCTCAATAGCAGCATCCTTATAGCTGCTCTTCTTTCCTGGGCTACTCCCATAGAACACACATACTCTCCTGAATTTTGATTCCTTTGTTTCCTTTTCCCTATCCATTCCCCTCTCTCTAAACTTGGGAGCAATATGCAAATATCCACTGCCCCAACATGCCCACACCTTTGCTAGATCAGGAGTTAATGCTGAGTGGTTGCTGCTAGTGCTGTTTGTGCAAGGCTTTTCTTGGGTTTATTCTCTAGTTTTGCTTGCTTTTTCTCTCTTGAGGGTTGTGCAAGTGTATTTTGTGTTATTTTTGGCTAGTCTATTGAATGTTCATAGCCCTTGTTTCCTTATGTGGCAAATGAACATTCCTTTATGTGGTTTATTTTAAGATGATTCTCTTTATAGTTTATTTAGTTTAGTTTATCTGTTTGGTTTTGTTTCTCTTGTATAGCTCTAGTTTTTTTAGTTTGGTGTTGTAAGGCCTAGGGAATGCCCCTTGTATATCTCTATATGTTATCAATTTATTTTGTGACTTATTCAACCAAAAAAAAAAGTGTTACTTGTATTGCTTTTATGATTTCGCTTTAATTAATTACTAGCCAATGTTAGTAGACACCCTCGTGGCTTGACACATGGGTTGAAGGTTCAAGCAATGGTTGAGAAAGATGGAAAGCTCAAAGTTCCCATACGACTGGAGTATCGTGCACCAGTGGGGGGATCTGCCTCTCAATTAGTCTCCAAAAATGGTGTTAAGGTCCGAACACACTTGCCAGACTTCATCATTCACAGGTGGAAACATGTCAAGGAAGAAGTTACGGCACCTATGTTTCAACGTCTAACGGTAAAAGTTTTACATAATTGATTGAATTCATGTAACATAATTAATTATGATTTACAGTATTTGAGGTTGTTGCTAGGATCAATTTGACATGCAAGGTGAATCCATTGATGTTAGCAAAGCAGTGGCAACAAAGTCTGGACGAAGCTTGAGCACCCACACCTACAGACTATGAATTAAATACCCGAACCTTAAGAGTGCTGACGAGTATGCTAGAAGCCACCCATCACTTGAATATGACCTTGAGAAATGGAAAAAACTTGATTGATAGGAAGTGGAATGATAGCAATTGGCTAGTAAACTTTTCTTATGTTTATTTATTGTTGACAATTACCTTGTCTTCCTCATATATATATTTTTCTATTGGAACTTGCTCATTGTAGAAGCAATCAAAAGCTAACATTGACAACAGAAAAAAATTGAAGACAAAGCATAGATGTGGGTCAAAATCCCTCCCAATTAGGATATACGAGGTGGTGCGTCTTCTTTAATTTTTTTTTTCCTTTTTCTTTAAAGATGATTCTACTGCCATCATTCTTATTTAACTTACTAGTTGAAAACAAAAAAAACCAAACAATCGCAAATGGGGGCCAACTGCCAGAGTTGCCATGTATTTACATATCCACACACTTTAATGATGTCACAAAGCAGTGGATTTCTCCGGAGTGCGAAAAAAATTATGTATGTATATTTACCTTTTGTATTAGGATGATTGCAATTTTTATTGTATCTTTATTCAGTTTTCAATTTTTTTAAAATTACAAGATAATATGATAAACATTTAAGCTGAACATTGCTCCCAACCTGGTATGGTTCCAATTACTCCAAAGGAGCTATCTATGAAGGTGCTCAAGCGAAGGTCCAGATATGTTAAAGGACTTGGATTGAGGCCTTCCTTCTCTATCAAGACTACCAGTGCTTCGACTGACAGTGACTATGTGAGGCATCTAGAGATGGAAATACAAGAGCAAAAGGAGGAAATTACAACACAGAAACATGAAATTCAAGCAGAAAAAGAGGAAATTCAAACACAAAATAATTTGATAGGGAAGATGAATGGGTCGATTGAGGAGCATTTGGAGATTACATCAAGCATTATGGAGTTTCTTAAGAAACAAGGTTTCAAAGGACAATTTAGAGAAGAAGGTATCCCATGAACTCGTAGATCGCCTTTTTGGTAAGTCTCGCTTGTTTTATCTTTTTATTTTTCTCATGTTGGTCAGTATATACTAGTTAAAGCATATTAGTTTGACTATTTGTTAACTAAGATTTAACAAGTTTCAAGATGTATTTAATGAAAATAGATTCATTATTTACTTTTTACTTAGCATGACCCTTGTTAAAATACACACTAACCAAAGTAGAGACAAAAATATGTGTTTACTTTATGTGTATTTTTGCTAGGTAGTGTTGGAGTTGCTCCAAGTTAGTGATGTGATTAATAGGGGTTTGCCATGTACAAAGGAACTTCTGGTTGTTAAGCTAGACTCATTGTGTACACAATTTGTATTGACATGAATAGAGAGGTCTATACAATGTGATTGGTAATATGTTAATGTTTTTCTAGTTTATTTTCTTTGTAAATTGATTTTTTATGACGTTTGGAAGCATACTTGCAAATCAAGATCAAGTGTTAATTTTTTTTTCCCTAAACTGATACTTAGTTCTAGTTGCAAATCAAGATCGAGTGTTGATTTTTTGTGTGGACTCCATGTTAGTTCATTTGGGATTTGCTATGATGGTTTTTTTGTTATACTTAATGGATTATTATTAAATTTGTTTGATGGATATATTTTGACTTATAATATAAATTGTTTAGTGAATTTTTTTTGTAGAGTGATGTATAATAGGTAGTGGATTTCTTAGTACATTTAAAAGGCTATTAGGATATGAACATGGATATTTGTAAAATAATTATTTAAATTGAAATATAAAATATGAAACAAGTTGAGTGATAAATTTTTTTCGTCATTTGTACTTGTTATTATGACAAAGTGATTATTCGTCGCTAATAAATATTTTTTGTGACAAAATTTATTGCAGCTTATAAATGAAAGTTTTCATTGATTTTGTTGTTTGGTGACTAAAATTTCGTCACATATATATATATTTTTTCCATGAAATATATTTTGTCACCTATGTATGACTTTTGGAGACGAAAAATTTCGTCAACTTTACATCTTATTATGGCGAAATTATTTTCTCATCCATGATCAACATGTGTGACAAATTTATTCGTCAACTAAAGTTATAAATATGGTATTGAATAACTATTTGGTGATGAAAATGAGGATTTTTGGGGACAAAATGTTGTTTTATTGATGACAAAAAATTTCGTCACTAAAGTAATTTCATTGGTGACGAAATTATTTTTCCTCATGGTGCTTTTTAGTGACAAACATTCAATGACGAAACCGGTGATGAAAATATTTCCTCACAAATATCTGTAGTGACAAAATTAGCTCTTTGGAGACAAAAAAAAAAAAAAATAAAAAAAAAATCGTCATTCAAGACCCAACTTGTTGTAGTGATCGATGAAGGGGCTATTTAAGCCACCAACCAACTTGCTGTTATCATAAAATTCCATCAAAAAATTAAGTATATCTCCTTTCATAAAGCTCCACCCTTTTTGGTTGCAAGTCATGTTCAAGCCATCAGGCCCAGGTGCCTTGTTGCCAGCACATTCTATAATTGCAGCCCAAATTTCAACTTCAGAAAAATCCTCTTCCATACTTCTGAAAAATTGACGCTATTCAATCACTTTAAATGGGCCCAAGTAACTTAGGCCTACACCTCCATTGTTCATTAAAACTAATCCTGAAGTTATCATAAACAGCTTGCTTCACCTCCATAGGTTCCTTCACTAATGCCCCATTCACTATCATAGAGTCAATTACATTGGTGTTCTGTCTCTTTGTAGCTATGATGTGAAAAAAATTAGTATTGTTTTTATCTCCCTTTAGATTCCAACTCAGCCTTGATTTTTGTAGCCAAATTCCCTCCATCATCTTTCTGAACTTCCACACATCTCCCCTCACCTCTCTTCTCCTCCTACCTTCAACCTCATCCAGATCTCTATTCTCAGCAATTAAATCTAGGGCATGTAGACCCTCTTCAACTTGCTCCAGTTTAAAATCAATATTCCCAAACACTTCAATATTCCACTTCTTTAATGCTTGTTTAAGTGCCATCAATTTGACTTTCAGTTTATAGCCTCCGCAACCTACTATTTGAGTGCCCTTCCACACTTTTTAAACTTCCTTTGGAAAGAAGGGGTGAGATGCCCAGACATTAATCAATCTAAAGGGCTTTGCGCCCCAATTTCTCTCATCTGCCATTAGGATGATTGGGCAATGATCTAATATGGATCTAGGCAGACCCTAGAGTTTGTATCTAAACAATTCCAACCATTCTAGGCTAACAAGGAACCTATCTACTCTGCTATCTCTCTCCTTTCATTGAATTACCCTATGTATATTCCTTCCCAACATGGGTATATCAATCAATTCCAGGCTACTAATAAAATTACCAAAATTTGCCATACCTCTATCCCTTTTAACACAACCTTTCCTTTCATCCAGTGATTTTATTTCGTTAAAATCCCCTCCTACACAAGAAGGTTTGCGAAAAACAGCCTTCAGATTGATCAAAGCTGCCCATAAACTCCTCTTACCAATCACATCATTGGGTGCATAGACATTCACAATCACACACTCCAAAATAAGGTACCTGATAATATGATGAAACTCCTGTTGCAGCAGTAGTCCACTAAGGAGAACACTTCAGGCTTCCAAACACATAACAGGTCTCCAGCACTCCCTTCAACATCTACATTCATGAAGCCAACCAAGTCATGAGGCCAAATAGATTTCACAAACTAGTTTGAAATATCTATCTTTTTGGTTTCTTGCAACAACACCATGTCCACCTTTCTTTATTTGATAACTTCTTTAACTTTCCTTCTTTTATTAGGCCTGCGAAGCCCTCTAATATTCCAAGAAAGAATCTTCATAAAAACTTAATTTTCACTCTAGAGCCTCCCTTGATGCTATTTTAAGCACATACATCATTGCACCTTTCAGTAGCTTGCTCCCTGTCCTTCTTCTCAATTTCCATGATTTTCTCTATAACTTCATCTTATTTTCCTTCAAAATCTATTCCCAAATCTTTCCCAATCTAAAAAGTAGCTTGAGCCTCCTTAATTAAATTGTTATTTCTGCTTGATCTACTATTTTGGGAAAGTGATGAAGAGATAGCAGCTACAACTGCTCTAAAAATG